GACACATGCTCTGAAGCCATTTAATTCGTCTGACCGCTAGCTCTGCTCTCACTGGAAGGATCTTCCAATTCTTGAGACCCTCGACGTTACTCATCGCAGTCATGTGCAAGCCCACGTGGATCGTCTTGGCGCGACCCTGCATCAAGGCACGAAGATACTTCACGGTTTGGGCTTCCAGCTACTTCTCCTCGGATTTCTTCAGGACGAAGGCCTCCAGACAGACCCGAGACCCCAGGCTCGATCACTTTCCCCAGGAAGATTTCACTCTTGAGCTTCCAGAGCCCCCTCTCGTTCCAGAACTTCCCCAGCTGGCACCGCCCCGCTGTCATAGAGTGCACGCGATTCGAGATCCCCAAATTGTTACTAGCTGCCATGGTGTAGCGAGCTTCAAGGTGGCGGGCATAACTCCCTGGAGCTGACCCTGAGGAGGGCGAACTTCCTGGAGCTTCCAATTTTCGACATGGGACCCGAGGCAAGGAACGATGCCGTTTTTTTGTGTGTTGATTTGTTCTGCGCAAGGTGCCAATGGTGGAGTGCATCGTCGAAAAGCTCGTCGCCCGCCATAATCATCTCTAAACCTCCTCCGCCGTGCCTGACGGGCACAGTCGTTTCTTCAGCAGGTCGTCGGCGAAGCCTGATAAAAATACATCCTGGTGGCATCCCTCTATCTCGTCATACATACTGATCGGGTCCTGGGTGAGACTCTTCCAATCTATAATGCATTCATGATAGACGCCTGCGAACTGCTTGGGGTTTTCGCTTGATCCCTGCAATCCACCGTCATGCAGTAGGACAGCCTCCTCCTTGTCCTCCACTGGAATAAGCACAATGCTGTTCACTAACCGTTGACGCGCCAATGCCTGAAGGTCGTCGCGCACATGTTGATGGCTGATGTGGAGGGGGTAACCTGTCCTTGGGCAGAGGAATGCATTGGTAAATTCGTGAAGCTCGTTGCTGTGGCGTTGCTTCTGTCGTCGAAGTGACCAGCCTGTCCGTCGTTGTACCAAGGTTGCTTCTTCGCGGCGTCGGTGTGTTAGGAATCCGCGCCAATGGCTGGGGGTAGTATTCGTCCAGGCCAGCTTGCGATCCCCCAGCCGTAGAGAACAGCGTAGAAACTCTTCCAGATCGTGTCTGAGGGGCGAATGATTCGTTGGCTGGACATCTGCTTCTTCAGGTTACGTTTGTCGAGGAGGATGCCTTCGGTGATGCAGGATGTGGTCGGGAGTTGGTTGGCACGAAGGCAGTGGATGGGGATGTCCATGAAGTAGGACTTGGCGTTGGTGTAGTGGGAAGCTGCATCCAATACGTTGTGTCTTCCGTCTTGCGCGCGTGTCGTGTGTGGATGTCGGTCAGGGCCGTGGTCGAAAGTCGTCGGGGCTGGTGCTGGTTGGGGGTCCAGATCAGGTGATGGTGGGGCGTTCGTCGGGCGTGGAGGGGTCCCCGACGTCAAGGTCGTCGAATGGGTCAACGTCAGGTCGGTCCATAGTCGCAAGCGTCCCACATGGTTCCTGGTGGTCGGCGTCGGGCTGTTGGAGTGGTGTCGGTGTAGTCGAGGCGGGGATGGAGTGGCTGGTGGTAGGTGGCTTCGTCGTCGGCGTCGGAGTGGGCGTGGTCGTAGGCTCCGCTGGCGTGGTGGTGTAGTAGCCCAAGCCACCGTGCGTGGTGAACGTCTTTGCCGGGTACGTCGGGTCGAGCGCCATCAGAGCAACTTCCGCTGGCACGCTCCACTTAGTGGTGCTGCGTCGTTTTTGGGCCCGCCGTAGTCGAATCAGAAAATGTTGGAGTAGAGCCCATGGTCGCCGTGCGAGCGCGCAGGAAGTCGCCCTCTTGAGGAGAAAGAAGTTGGTCCAATTCAGCTCGTAGATCGATGCGTTGCGCCCCCGTGCCCCCCTCGCTGCCTTGGCGTTCGACGCGGGCGCGAAGCTCGGTGAGGGAGGGCTTGTAGCTCGGGAGATGGCAGTATACGCGGTTCTTCACGCCCATGGCCTTGCCCGCGAGGGGCCGTGCGATGCGATGTACGTCCGCCGCGTGCCCCAGTCGTCGGGCCTCCACCAGCTTCTGGTACAGGTACTTGCGGTAGGTCGCATAGCCCGGTCGTGCCGCTTTCGGGCGTAGTACGTGGCCTCATTGATCTCGCTCTTGAGGGTGTTCAGGTAGACTTCGTGCTGGTCCAGAACGTCCCCGTAGACCTGCCACAGGTGGGCGAGTTGGTCGCGTAGTTGTTGGCGAGCTCGTAGTTCCTCGAGGCGTATGCGGCGCCAGTGGGTGACCTCGTCATGTTCGCGTCTGCCTCCGTGAGCCCCGAAATGGGCTTGAGCGGTGTCCAACAAGGTCTGCGCCCACATGTCGTAAACGAAGTCAGGATGCGGCAAGTCGGCATAGTTGGAAAGCTGGTTGGTGATGTCGTTCATTCGCTGGTCGAGCTCTCGGTGGAATCCCAGTCGGTCTTCGCCATGTTGTAGTGCTCGGGCTAGGTTGGTGTAGTCCCATCTGGGTCGCAATTGGCGGTGGACGAACGTCGGCATCTCGTGGTCGACCGTGAAAAACAAGGGGAAGGTGGTCTCTGGGCTGGGCGTCGGGAATGAGTTGAAGCTTACGTCCGCGTTTCCAAGCCACTGCGCACGTCTTAATACCCTCCAAGAGAGATGATGCGATGAGGCCAATGTCTAATTATGTAGGCCGTGCGCTCGGGTAGTAGGTGTTCACGCAAGCCATGCCGAAGGACTCCATGGCCCATGGTGTTGTACATCAGATGGCCTGCGATGCCGCTCCGCTTGAGGTGAAAAGCGCCGAAGTGCTGCCCGTCCGGATCGAGTCGAATCTCCTCCGTGTCATCTGGCCGAACCCCGAGTTGATGTCGAAGCCTGCAATGGGTGTGCATCGAGCTGGTGCGCCCGCCAGTCGGTTGTGGATGTGCTGCATGGTCAGCTCGATGCTGCGCTGTTGTGCTCGTTTGGCCGAACCCGTCTCGTAGAGTGGCGGTGGGTAGCCCGTGACCGCCAGGATATCGAAACCACCTGACTTGACCCGAATGTCGCCTGATCTGCCCTCCAATCCGCGCGGCGTTGGGGTGACTGAGGTGACGTGATTCCGTCGCAGCCGTCGTCCTAGCACTATGTAGGTCCCCGCGCAGTTGGTCACATACGGGGAGCGCCGCCAACCGAAATGAACTGCAGTCCGCCTGTTTGACAAATTCTGAACGTGATACGGTCTATCTGGCCACTATCTGACTCGCGTGCCGTTGAGAAGAAGTACATCCACATCCAACACACTCGCGATCTCCTCCAAACGTGAGCTCTGAATGAGAGACAATGGGTTGTAAACGGCCACCCGCAAGAGAAACCGCATGTGATCCCCTCTCAGGACCTGTGTCCACACATCAGATGGCGGGCGAGGGGTCCATGGGAAGGCGCGAAAGAGGCGGGGGCCTTCTGCTCGCTGCCTGCTGCGAAGCTTACGCCGAGGTGGCAGCGAATGCAGTCGCGTATCTGTATATATTTCTCTATATCGGTTTTCTACAAAGCGATATGTATTGCGTCTGTGTTTGTGTGTATGCGTTTGGGTCGGGGTACGAGGGCGAGCTTGAGCAACAAACGCAATCATTACCAGTAGCAAGGCGATCACGAGAAGGCGGAGTATGGCGAGTGAACGAGGGTGACGAGGAGGAGGAAACGGATGAGGACGAGGAAGGGCACGCTTTCACAAGGGGTGCTGCCTGGAGGGAGCAAGTGCAGAGGTTGCCCCAGAGTAGCGCTGCCAGATGAAGCGAAGAGCAGGAGACGGAGTAGTATGAACAGGATTTCCAGGAACAGGACCAGGAAAATTATACCAAGAACAAGAGCAAAGTAAGGCAGGACCAGGAACACGCCGTGGAGGCTGATTCTGATGAGGTTGAGGCCGACGGCCGCTCGGACTCAAACCCTTCGGTGGGAGCCCCAGGGGGACCTGGACGTCCACTTCGCACGTAATCTTGATAGGGTCCGCCGGCGGCCGCGCAAATCTTCAGACCCTTCGGCGGAGGGGTTCTTTTGGAGGGCACCGCGCCAGCGCCTCTGCAGAGCGTAGGGGGGAAACGGCCGCTCAGACACGAGCCGCCCGCACCCGGACGAAGGGCCAGCCGCGAGAGCGAGAAACGGGGGCTCTGGCGGTGAGTGGCGACACTGAAGAGCAGAGGCGGTGCTGGTGTGGCAGCGGATGATGGTAAGCACGAGCACGGACGAGGGCGGTGAGGAGGAGTGCGGTGGAGTGCTGGCGATAGGTGTGATGAAGGCTGGATGCTTCACAGGAGGCCATGTGCTGAGATGAGTGAGCCGAGGAAGGTGCGAGGGCGATCGGCAGGCGAGGATGAGGGTGATGATGAACATGATGTTGGCGAGGAAGGTGGCCGTGTCTTGGGTTCTGGGTTCCTCCCGTGCGTGGGGCCTAGAGTCTGTAGAAATTAACTCCTCTACGATGGATGTTGGCATTACGTGGACAACTCCGACAGCCTGTCGAAACTGAAGTTGCCCCTCTGTCAAACTCCGTAATGTACTCCCGACTCTGAATCCCCCCCAGAGCTCGAACGACGCTCTTGTGCATGCGAGAAACGAGGAGATCGGCTGTTTTGTGGCATCGATGGTACCCTTCGGCGACTAAACAGACGGCCTGGGCTTCACAAAATGGCCAAGCGGCGCATATGACAACACTTTCTCCACGATAACAGGGAGGCATGGTTCTCACAGCTGGTGGATTAACATGTGTTGAGCAAATGTAAACCGCCGTTCGATTATTACATACTGGTATTCGCGTGCAACGCGCTACGCTAACCTACCGCACATCACGAACACTCGATAATTGTCTGTAAGCACCGTCAATATTGTGATGGGGCCGTTGGTGTCATACGACGATGGAGGAGACGGGCCAGGTGGGAAGGGGGGAAGGGAACGAGGATGGTGGGGAATGGGGGTGAAATCAATTGAAGGAACATGTGAGAAACACTTGCAAATAACAAAGATGGGAGCCTCACGGTACTGCGCCAACTCCAGCTTCAAAGTACCAGCCACTTGCTTCATCGCCTGTCACGGAAGAGGCGGACTCCACGTCCACACAACCCAATAATACAGCCTCTTGCTTGGTATCTTGGCACACGCAATCGACAACGCATGATCGCTTCGCCATCACCCCTGTAAACACGATCACGGCCCTCTAACAAAATGCGAGCGGCGAGAGCCTTGCGACATCGCGTCTGGCCGCAGGCCTGCCAACAAACAACGTCGTCGCTCTCCCTCGCCCCTCGCACCTCTCTACAGGTATGCTCTCCGCTCTGACCCCGTGGCCATTCCGCGACCTGCAACATCTCGCTGCAAACACGACACCTCGCGTGGACACGAGCGAATTCGTCGCGCTGAAACACCAACGCGTGAGGCGCGTATAGGATAAGACCGCTAAGATACCAATGCATAATTAACAATTGGCGTGGCCCCAATCTCCAGCGGCCATCTGAACAGCCGCTCTGAAAAGGCCCGCCCCCTCTGCTTTCCCCCCGGGCGCGCCGCCGAAGTGTGTACATGAAAAGCCGCTGGCGACGATGAGCAGGGGCGCAACTTAGCGTGCAGGGGGCCGGGCGGGGCCCGGAGGCGCGACGTTTCACTAGAGGGCGCATCGAAGGGGTGTGTGTGGAAGGGCATGGCCACTGGTAGTCATCGGCAGTCATTGGCGGCGAGCGTCAGCTTTTGGCGATTCTCAGGGTTGGGGGCGCAATGCAGTGGCACAAGTCTACAGTCGCCGTGCTACCAGCAGGAACGCTGAACAAGGAACAGCGGGGCTTCTCTGACCGTGGCTAGCGGCCAGCCTCGGCCACGAAGAGAAGCCTCCCATATAGGATCTGAGTAAATGGTGTCGGAGGATCGCGCCGCATCCCAGGCGTGTCGCTGATGCATTTGCGATGCATCGGCGACGTCGGCGATGCCTCAGCGACGGCAGGTTGGAGAACATCGGGCTCCACATCGAGCCGCATCGCCGCTGCATCGCCCATGCGGCGCGATCCTGTCACCCCATCTGCTTGGACCCCACCTGAGAAGCTCACGAGAGCCCATGATGGTACTTATGTCAACGTCTTGGCTGTAGCGCAGTGGCATGGGTCTGGGCGGGTCTCTCATGGCGCAGCAATGTGGGCGTGGGGCTGCTTGGGACGTGGGCGCTCGGGGCGCAGCGCGCGAAAACACGGTGATGTGCGGGGTTAATGGCGGCACCGGCCCTTCGGGGGAACCCGCGTGGGCTTGGTGCCGGAGAACATCAAAACAAGCAGCATGAACATGACCTCTGGGAGGCCCGCGCGGATTTATTGAATTGGCGCTGGAGGCGCCGCCAGGGGCCCCTGGGGGCTCCAGCGCCGAACCAAGAAATCCACGCGGACCTCCGACAAAATAAATTTACGCAATGTGTTATTCCTCGGCCGCGCTGGGCCGGGCTGCTGGCGGCAACGGGCACGGCTGCCGCGACGCACGGGAATTCGTGGCAGTCAGGCAGCCGACGGGGACGCGAAGGGGGGGAGGAACCGGGGCGCATCGATTCTACACGTCTTCCAGCATCAGAGTGAGGGAACCGAGCGGTCATTCCCTGTCCCTGGGCGCGTGGCTGGCATGGGGTTCCGCGGTGACCCCCCCTCGACTGACCCCGCGACCCATCCGCGACCCGCGATCCACCCCGCGACCCATCAGCGACCCACCCCGCCCCCGCCACCTCACTCCTCTCCGCAACTGCGGGGTGCTACATATTTATTTGTTGGAGCGTTTCGTTTTTTGATGCCGAGACCATTTGTCCTCGTAACAATATCATTATACGTCTTATGGCAAACAGTCTCGTTCTCCAGATTGTGATAGCCGTTCTGGCTAATATGATCCAGATTTCCTGGACAACATCGCGACACCGCGCCCGCCCGTCGCCGGAGAGGGAAAAGGATGATACCGTCGTCTTCCGTCCGCCAACGGCCCGTGGAACTCGCGCGCAGTTTCTCGCACCACACACGCCAGCCACGACTTGCATGTGGAAGGGGGGCGAAACAGGTACCGATACCGCTGCCCACTGGACCTCTCCAGGGGTGCGCCCTGGCCAGAATTTCGAAGCGACCCCAGCCATGACGACGAGGGGAGGGTATCGGTACTGGCATCATTCCTCCTCTTCTGGGTGGGGGGGGGGCATGCTTCGAACGGGCCTTCACGCTCCCAGCCCCCAGTGTCAAGCCAGGCGGGGCCCGCGGCAGCCACGAGCACTTGGGGGGAAGCTTCCTGGCCTGCGGAGGGGAGCGCGCGCGCGGCCGCGAGCGCCAGGCCCTGGCAAGGCTCCGTCTGGCGCCTCTTGGGTATCTGTGCAGCGCGCTGCGTTGCAGGGCGTGCAAGGATCCGCCGCGCTGCCCCCAGCGCGGCGCAGTTCGGAGAGGAGGAGCGAAGCCTGCCCGCGCGACTAGAACAAGATAACACGCCATGGCCATAAACTTGCTGGCGCTCCGCGAAGATTTCTTGCATCTGCGCTGGACGCCCCTCCCTGGCGCGCGGAGCACACCAGGGGCGGCGCCGAAGGCGCAGCCAGGGACGGGGGCAGCGCGGATCCAAGAAACCCGCGCGGAGCGCCAAACGTTCATGTCATAGCGCTTGTTCTTTTTCGAGCGCAGGTGCAGTAGGGGCTCGACCACAAGAAACCTTCAACAAGAAACCCAACCCTGAGCCCCCAGGACGTCTTTTGATGTTGTTGATTGTGTGTTTGTGTGTATGTGTATGTGTATGTGTATGTGTATGTGTGTGTGTGCGTGTGCGTGTGCGCGTGCGTGTGCGTGTGCGTGTGCGTGTGCGTGTGGGTGTGTGCGTGGGCGTGTGTGTGTGTGTGTGTGTGTGTGTGTGTGTGTGTGTGTGTGTGTATGTGTGTGGGGGGGGGGAGCGTCACGCCTTCCACGGCAAAACCATCGAAACCCAAGAAACCCTGGGCACCCTGGAGGCAAGCAAGGTGTTTCTTGGCATGGGCCTCCACTGTAAGCGTCCCGCCGACCCCGACATGCACTCTCCAAGCGCATTGGGGACGCACCGCTGGGGGGCCTCGGGCTGGGCGGGGACGGTGGCGGCACCCGGGAGGCGCTTTGCGCGGGGATGCACCGTGCGAGGCGAGGCTTGGTGGCGGCCAAGGAGGTCTCGGGGCTGCAGCGCAGTGGCGCTGCGGGGATCTACTGACCCGGGTCCATCCAGACCTGGGCCAGTCAGGCCTTGCAGGATCCTGCAAGATCCTGCAGGATCCTGCACCCAAGCCCTGATCAGTGCGACTCTGGCCCTGCAGGATCCTGCAAGATCCGGCGCTCTGGCTGACCCCCGCTTGCATCGACCCCCGTCTCTTGAGCCCCGAGCGCCGTGAGGTTGGGCGGGGTCGGTGGCCGCAGCGCCAACGTCTCTCACAGAAAAGCCCCAAACCCCCTCGCAGAGAGGCCCAGAGCCGGGTCACAAGAGCGACCTCAGCCCACCATTTCCTGCGGACGACTTTCCCGAATCACAGGAGCGGCTCCTCCTCGCCATACGCGCGAGCCAGGGAACAGCCAGAGCAGACGAATTTTCGAGGCGGCCCGGGAGTCTGAACTGGCTGGGGCTCCAGACAGGCAGGGGCCAGTGCGCGTCACACCTCCCCTCCCTGCCACTGGCCCCTCCGCGTCGCGTGCCGTTTGCTCCCGCTCTCCCTCGCCTCTCTTCCCCTCCCTCCTCTCCTGCCCTTCCCCTCTTCTCCCTGCTGTGCTCTTCAAGGGGCGGGACAAAAATTCCGCTCTCCCTCTCCCTTCAATCACCCCACCCCTCCCGCCCCTTCCCATCACTCCCCTCGTCTCCCTACGCGTCGTCTTCTCTTCCCTGCCTCCCTCGATCACTTCCTCCCTCGCTACCCCCTGGCCGTCCTTGATCTGCGCCGCGGAACCGACGCGGCTCACCGACAGGCCGACGTTGACGGCGGGCCGGATACCCTTGTAGAACAGCTCCGTCTCCAAGAAGATCTGCCTTCGGGCAACATCCCCTCACTCTCACAGGAGCAGGCGGGCAACCAACATGAAGCTTCACACGCCCTTCTTCTGCGGAGGTCGCCAGATCGACGTGCCAATCGGCCGCCGTCGGGCGGGGTGCGTGTGCCAATCGAGTCTCGGGACATTATTGGGCATCTCTCGACTTGAAGGCCCTGCCTCCGCCTGAAAAGCACGCTTTGCTTGGGAGAGGGCTGCGGATGCTGAAACAGGGAGGCCCAAGTTCCGTGTCAAAATAGATGTGCGTGGGCTTAAGAAGAATCTCGCATCTGGGATGTGTGACAAAACCGACATGCCAGTACTGAACGCAGGTCAAAACTTCAGCGGGGGTGGTACGTGAGGCAGACTGTTTGGATCTGGTCAGCCATCTGGAACGTCACTCAAGCAGCAGCGCCAGGCCACTTTCGCAAAGGACTGATGTTCGCAGCGTCAGTGGCTTACAGTCAGAACTGGCAGTAAGCATGCGCGATGAGGATGCACGCCACTCGGACGCCCGTGCTGAAGCTCTTTCGAGCGGGGCTGGCCATCGAACGGGATCCAGGATGGACCGAGGAGGCAAGGCTGCAAGGGTGCCCTTGGGAAGTCGATCGTCCTCCCTGAGGAGCTTGGACCGTGCTCCACAAGCCGAAGTGTGGGGCTCGTGCTCCCCAACACCTGGCCGCGCCACCGGCGCGAAGGACGGGGCGCTCTGAGCGCCTCGCCTGCCCGCGGCCCCCTCTCCCCGCGGCCGCCCTCGCCCTCTCCTCGCCTCCGCGGTGCTGCCTTGCCACTTCGCAGCCTGGCCTCGGCCTCCTCGCGCCGCGCGACTGCTGGCCAAGACGAGGCCAGGGCGAGGATGACATCGGGTGAGGACAAATCGAGAAGCTTTGAGATCCGACGGCTCTGGAAGATACACTGGGCGCCGCGGCCCTCTCAGAGCGTTCCGGAACGCTCTGAGGGCGTTCCGGCACGCCCTGGAACGGAGTTTGTTTTACCTCGTCCCCCCCCGTCCGACTGGCGCCGCGACCAAAAAGTGCTCCTCACGTCCTTAGTGTGGGGGGCTCTTTCTTTCCTGTGCCGTGCCCGCGCGGCCGCGCGGCGACCTGGCGGATCATACCCTCTCGGCCCGCCCCTTCTGGGCGCGCCCCATCCTGATCTTATCGAGCGCCATCTCCTACGGTCGAAACGGTGTCATAAGGAACTCTGAACAAGGAACGAGACTCCTTTTTTTCCATGAGGTAAACTTCGATTTCCCATAGAAAACCGATGGACAACGTAAGACAAATGGTAAAGCAATTAAGGATCACTGAGCCCCTCCTCAACGACAAGGGTTCCTTCTTCAGCGGCCCGACTGCATCGAGCGCCATCTCCTACGATATCATGTTGTCCGGATCACACCTGATACGGTACCACTATTCCCCCGCATCTGGGCCTCGCACAATCATACAGTCCCGTTTCCTTTCCCCCTCTACCGTCTCGCCCGTGCGTGTGAAATCCTCGAGATGAGGACGGTGCGTCCACTCGTCGGCCGGGTGGCTCTGGTCTGGGATCTGCCCGCCCTGCAAAAGCAAAAGCGACTCGGGCAGGCGCCGCTGAAGATGGACCCAGTGAGGGCCCCAGGATTAGGTCGGGCATGTCTTCCTACAGGCGGATTTCGGCCGAAAAATGAGAAATACCAACAGGAACACTCCCACAATGCCCAAAAATACCAGAAGCATCGTCCGTCCCCAGACTATTTCTTTACAATTGTTTTACAACCCTCCTGTCGAAGGATGTGCCCGACTTAACTCCAGGAGGGCCTCGCGAGGGCCTCGCGAGGGCTTCGGGAGGGCTGGAGAGGGCCGCAGCACACTCCAAGAGAGCCCGAGAACGCCCCGAGAGGGTTCCGACGAGACTCCGGCCGGCCCGAGACGGGCCCAATACAGCCCGGCAGGGTCCCAACAGCGCCCCACGGGGGGTCCCAAGATGCGTCGAAACGTGGGTGGGCCAATTTGCCCGAGGGGCGACGCGTCGAGGCCGCTTTTCTGCGGAGGTCAACTGTTGTAGCCTGTGATGCGGTGTCAACTGTTGTAGCCTGTGGGGGGGGGAGGCGACAGTGCAGCTCGAACGCTGATATTAGGTCGGACATGTCCTCCTACAGGCGGGTTTCAGAAGAAGACTCAAACATAGTCAGAACATATTCAAAGTATAGCCAAATATGATAGAAACATCGCTCACAAGCTTTTTTAAACATTATTGTTTGTATCTGACTACTCTTCCTGCAGCGGGGCATGCCCTGCTTGACACCAATACTTTCCCGGGCAAGCAACACGAGGCGCGAACGTCGAGGGGCGCGCGCTCGTGCAGAACATCCCGTGGGCACCAGTGGAGGATCAACAGCCAGTGATCGCTCCCTCCCCCCCCCCCCGGAACGAAGAGCTCAGCGTTGAATGCCGCTGCTGCTGCCCCCCCCTGCTCCTCCACTCCCTACTCTCCTCCTCTCTCTCTCTCTCTTCCCCCTCCTTCCTCATCCGCCTCATTCGCATTATCCTCCTTCTTCTTGCCGTCCCTTCCTTGGCCTCCCTCCCTCCTCCCCCCTCCTCCTGCTCCTCCTGCTGCTGCCCTCCATCTCCATCTCTCCGCCTCTTCCACCCCACCCCTCCTCCTGCTGCTGCTGCTCCTCATCCTTCCCGTTGCTCCTCGTCCCTCCAACTCCGCCTTCTCGTCCTTCTCTCTGCTCCTCCTCCTCCTCCTCCTCCTCCTCCTCCTCCTCCTCCCAACAAGTACACATTCCGAATACTACTCTCCTCTCTCCCCTGACTCTGTCCTGAAGATGTCCCGCCCTCTTCGCGTATTGCTTCCTCCACACACTAGTGGACAACATGTTTCTGATGTTGTTTTGATAATCCGATTGTCTTCGGTGTTTCAATCTGCTGCTCCTGCTGCAGCATGGGCCTCATCTTCGGATCGGCGCTCTGCCCCCGTCCTTCAGGATGGCGTTCTCGCCCCAGCGCGGGTCAATCTTCTGGGTCCGGATCCCTTCTCCTCGGTGTCGACCCCACTCCTCCGCCTTCCCCTGGTCCTCCTGCTCCCCCCGCTCCTTCCGCTTCGGTTCCCGCTGAAGCCGTTCGCCTTCGCACTCCTCCTCATCCTCATCCTCCTCCTTTAGCCTCCTGCTCAGCTACCCCTTCTCGATTGCGCATAGCATGACGAGGTGTTTTTGCGAGTTCCAGGTCCGCTGTGACACGCGTCCGCAGACAGAGAATCAATCAGCGCAATGGGAGGGGATGGGTAGGAGGGGCAGGATGTCAGATAGGGCGCGATCGCACCTATCTTGCCTCTCTCTCTTCTCTCCGATCCTACTTCGTCGACGACGTCGTCCTCGTCCTCCTCTTCCTCCTCCCCTTTTTCTGTGCCGTCTTCTTATTCTCGTCATGTTCGTGCTTCTTCTTCGTCTTCTGTTTGTTGTTATTCTTCTTCTGCCTCCTCCTCCTCCTCCTCCTACCACCTCTGATTTTCTACCTCCGCTGCTCTTCCTCCTTTCCCTCTCCCTCCCGTCTTCCTGTCCTCCTCTTGCTCCTCCTGCTCCTTCCTCCTCCGCCTCCTCCTCCTTCCTCCTCCTCCTCCTCCTCCTGCTCGATGTCAGACACGTGGCGAAATGTCGTCGCTCGCAGGGCGCAGCAACTTCGCCGGGTCTGCTGAGGGTCCGCCTCCTCCTTCTCCTCGTCCTCGTCGCCCGCGGCGTCGGCATTGGCGGCGGACGATGAGCCTGGTTAGGCCCAAAGGGCTCGGACTGCTGGTGCAGGAATGCGACTCCGATGGGGCAGGAGATAACGAATGCAACGATGCCCTGTGAACTGCAAGCCTCTCTGCGAATCATGGACCAAGTGAACCCGGCCAAAAACGGGAGGGGCACTCTATCTGCCTCCAGGTGCCAAACAATTCCGTCGGAGGTCGTAAGGCTCAAAATGCTGGTACTGCACGTCCGATGGGGAAGATCCGACGGGTAAATGGAATGGCTTGGTGCGCGTGCAAGCCCAATGCAATACGTGAGCCTCATGAACAACGCACGACGGTAAAGCCCCGCAGTGTTGCGGAAAAGGCTGGCGTGCGTTCGTGCCAACCATCACGTTCCAACGCCAATCTAAAGTATCAAACTCGCCGCTGAACTCTAAATTCAGAGCGATCTGGTCTCCAAGGAAACCACGCGTCTGGGCCAACCATGCGCTCAAATGATGTCCACGTTTCTCCAAGCGCCACCGCTTGAGATCGATCATGAGAACCCCTGAATTGAAGTACGTGTTTGGTGTCAGATTGTTCAACAAATACTCTATCCCGACCCTGCGAAAACCATTGCGGTGTTCTTGCAGTTCGTTTGCGCTGGTGAGCAGTGGCGCGGCAGCCAATGTATGCCACATCGGCATTCGAAACAATCCAACAATATCGACCCTCAAGATTGTGTCGGTATCCAGGTACACGATGCGGGAGACGCCAGGAAGGTACTCGTCGAGGTGCAACCGTTCGAACGATTGGGCAGGCAGAGGCCACAAGAAATTCGCTCGCAATATTTCTGGGTCAACCCTCAGCCTTGACTCGTGAAAGGCAACCCGAGGCAATCTCTGTCCTGGAAGAAACGATTTCATTAAGCAAACATGGGTAGCGCGCTCCATCATGCCCATGTCCTTCCCGGGCGCGATGACATGAATTACAACCCGGTCTGGTGTCTTGAGATGGTGGACCAACGATCTGATGCTCCCCATCAGACCAAACAAATTGTTCTTGTCGGACGCGTAGACAACATGCATGACATCTGATACCATCGACCCCGTACCATTACTAGAAACGTGTGGCTTCCTTCTCGCATCGCTGGGCGATGATGCCGTGGCTCGCAAAGGCCTGCGTGCCCTGCAACAGCCGGGGCGCCACGGGACACCTGACCGCAGGCCGAACACCCACGACGCGTTTGGGGGCTCGTCGGCGGCGCGCCCAGGGGGGAAGTGAAAGGGTGC